ACAGACAGCATGAAACAAAAAGGGCAGTAATTATTACAATAGGTTAGTTAGGTCTACCATAATACATGTCAGTTTATTTTCTGACCTATTTGTGTTAGATTGTAGGAGAAAATTTTCTACAACTGTAATTGTAAACTATTCCTTAGACTGTCTTGGTTTATTCAAAGTCAGAACAAGTAAGCTATTTGGCTCGATAAACTTTATCTGTTTCTAAAACGTAAATTAGCACTGTTGGTGTACAAAATAAACAATTAATGCAGTTTAAAATAATTAGTCCCTTTGACAAATTTCGATAATGCAATGAGAAGTTTATCAGGATTATGTGATATATTTGCTCAATACATTTCGAACAATCCGACCACATATACTTGTTAAGACATTTCTATATGAAAATTAAAAGGTCAACTAGACAGGTTTAAAGGTAAGCCGTAACAAAAAAAAACAAAGTATACAAAAACAATGTGGTTGTGACTGGTCATAAGGTTGATATCAAGTCAGCTTTTGTAGTGTTGTACAAAAGCCTTGGCTATACGAAAACTGATACCCCCTTTATATGTTCAAAAAAATCTGTTCTTAACCTTAACCTACCCTGGAAATACTGATTTTTTTTATCCAAAATGCTTATCACATTATTTTTATGTGCTTTATTTATCTTAGCTACGGTTCACCTTTAATCTGCCTAGTTGACCACTTAGTTTTCACATAAAAATGTCTTAACAAGTATATGTGTGATCGGATTGTTCGAAATGTATTGAGCAAATATATCACATAATCCTGATAAACTTCTCATTGCATTATCGAAATTTGTCAAAGGGACTAATTATTATTCTACCGTGAACCAGTTGATAAAGATGGTTATAAGCTGAACTGAATTGTTCCTCAGACAGTTGCCTGACTAAGGCATGCACCGACTTCCTGAGGCTTGGCTGTCTTAATTGCACTGGGAAGTAATTCTCAACCGCAATATGTGTTAGAGAAATCTCCGACTGTAACCACCTGTCACAAATTGACTGTACGTTCACATCAGTATTACTGTGTGCGCAGTAGGCCAAAATGTGACGACATGGCATTCCGTTTTCAATATTAAAAGTACACGAACACTGAAAGGTATTGCGGTTGACTGTGTAAGTGCCGGTTGCGTCCACAGCCGTGAAGATATCAACAGACGTATCAGTAGCACTAAATATAGATCTCAACACAGGTGTTTTTCGATTCAGCTTATGCCTCTTCAAAATTCCATGAGTTGTCTCAACGAAGTTGGTATTGTCTTGTTGAAGTAGCGTTGCTGATGGTCGAAAAGCAGTAGACCATTTTTGTTTTCTCGGCAGTAAGTGGTCTCTTACATATCGAAAAAACGTTTCATCGGATATTTCAATCAACGACAAATAACTTAAAACTACAAAATAATGTTATGAAGATTTTTATTTACCTTTCAAGAGTCCGAGTGAACATCAGCCGAAAAAACAGTTGTATCACTTCTGATCGTACTCTCTACAATGACGGTAAATGGGTCAATGTTGTGACGCACATTCCCACGTACAACAGTCCAGTAACCTTCTATAAACTTACAAAAGATGAAGGCCGGACAGGGAGTGTTCATGAAAGTCCTTCGTGAAAAAAATGTAATAACACTAATCAATTTACCTCCTCCGTCTAATCGGCTGTGACGAACCGTTAGATCTTCTACGGCCAGTTCTCCAACATACAAATTTAATATACGATTTCTGATCTCTGTCCAAATGAGAATCTCTCACCACATAATGACAGTACGTACATCTTTCATAAGTTCTGATAGCCGACATTAACGCTTCAACTGATTGGAACGCAACGAGAAACAATGCAGTCAAAAATACATCCTCCGTTTCTGTGACAACGTGAGAAACAACAGCTCTTGTAGATGGAACGTCACTCTCCCATTATGATGATGAAAATGTACTTTTTCGACGAGTGCTGACATTTTATAACACTTTCAAGACATAACTAACCAATTATAACGAACTTAAAACTAGCAATTTAATTGGACGAAACGTGTTGAAAAATTTTGTAAAATGGGATGAAAAAAACTTTTTTAAAGGGGTGAAAAAAAAATTTATCAAAAAAAAAATTTAAAAAAAAGCCGGTCGCTGAATGTTATTCTAATTCTGATAACCTCTATCTTCTCATTGCATTATCGAAATTCATGCAGTCCATTAATCAGGTAAAAGAGACTTAAACAGCATACTGAACAGTAACTAGAGCATAGGAGAAACGAGTCAACGAACTTTATATCGCTAATGGTAAACATAAATTTGTGATTGGTGAATAAGCAAAGCATAGTCATACAAGGTTAAAGAAAGTTAATGTGGTAGTGAGCGTTTCCTGTCGTCATTGCTGGGTTCGTTTACTGATCACACTTTACAAGATATTCAAATTAGTTAGGGTTGTCAGGATCAGTGTTAATGTAATTTAACAGCAGATAGTTGGTTTAGTTAGTGGATTCCATAACAAGAATGACCAAACATTTAAAGTTCCTATAATCTCACTTATAGAATAAGATACACTTACAGGTGCTAGAACATTTAATGCATTTTCAGAGGAGCAGTATGCATCAATGCAGCGAACAAACGATAGGAGTAATTTTATCTTACGGATGGATTGTGGCAGATTATTCCAGAGTCTGGAAAATTTACATGTAAAGTAATTCATATAGAAAGATGGATTTGTTTCACTAATGACAAGGACTTACAGATGTTGTAATTAGACGTTTCTGCATATTGAATTACTTGATTGGATGTAAAAGATAGTCTATTAAGTATTTTGAAGAAACGTATTAGGTTTAGTTTGAGTCTCCTTTTTCATAATGAGTCGAACCCAAGTTTATTACATCTGGAATTATAATTCAAGTTACAATCATTTCCAAGAATCCGAATAGTGAAATCATTCATGTACTAACTCCAACTTTGATTTCTTATATGTGCACACCACTAAGAATGAACGTGCAATATTCTAGGAGTGGTCGAACACAAACTTTGTACAACAAGATACGTGACTCGTTGTTATAAAGGTACCGAGTTATGCAACCCATAAAAAGTTAAGACAAAAAGGTTTGTTTCAATATCTGTTCTGTAAACGACAAATCGCAGGAGTACCTAAGTCCCAAGTCTACTACTGTATGTAACTTAGATAACACCTCACAATTTATGGTAAGATCCAAACCGAGTGATGTATTACCGAAGCATATCCATCCACATTTATTTCTGTTAAGCTCCAGCTTCTATTTTAAGCGCCATTGCGCTACCTTGTTAAGCTCCACGCTGATACAGTTTTGCATATTGTTCAGCTCATGTAGAGAAAATAAATACACTACTTTAAGATTATCTGCTTACAGAAGGGCCTTGCCCACACAAATACATTCACACACTACCTTGTACCACACCACTTCTGACAGGGACAGCGTTCGACAATGAAGAGTTAATTTAAATTATTTGATATCGATGGCTGAGGAAGGAATCAAACCAAGCGAGTGTTTTGGACCCCGTAACATGCGATTTTATCTATAAAACGTTGGTGGCTAACCATGTCGACAAGTTTAATAAGTTAAAAAGGAGGTATAGAGTGTAAAAAAACGAGAACGTCCTTATCTTTGTTTTGTATTTTAGAGTTGACTGGACTGGTTTAGTGTCGGTGTTTGGTCATATGGGTTACAGCTTGAACAAACTAATGCTAGAGGGATCAAGTATTTCATTATTTTGATAAGGTAGACTTATTTTCTGAAATTGACTTGTCAGACAGTCGCGAAAGTCACTCGTTGGGGTCCAGTTAATGGTGCGTAACCTATTAATCCGTCGTGTCTATCGTGGTAGTGATGAGAAAAGTTATATCTTGCGGATTCAGTACATAAAAGTTTCGGAGTAACCCTGAAGCATAATGGTTCCTTGAAGTCTGTTTGATTTTAGGCCTGCTTACACAATGGTTGTGGTGTCCGTTTTGTGCGTCGTTTGCGCTAAGTGTCTCCATATAACCAACCCTAGGATTAGTAGAGTAAAACAGGGTGTCGGGAAAAATATTTTTGTATGGTTGAGCAATTGTAATATTTTTGGTGTTAGTTTTGAAACCAGATAGTTTTATATAGACTTTCTTCCTACATGGTATAGACTTTAATTTTAACAGTATTTTGAAGAGCTTTTACGTCAGAACTAGGTATTTGGGTATGCACTTCTGCTATTATATAAGGTCTACTATTATATGAGGTCACTACAGGCATAAGTGGTAAGTTGGCACTCTTCGGAATATTGGTTGACACGAGATAGATTATTTGTATCAGTGGGTCCTGCTGCTGAGGCAACGGGATTCAGTGTAATCTCTACATTGTTGTTTTCATTTAAGGTGCGCTTTTGCGTAAGCCTTTGATTAGTGGTTTTATCTGAGACTATACTAGCGTTCCTTCAGCTGTTCAGTTAATAAATGTGAATCAAATCTAAACAAGATAGGACACAAGAACGTCCAGTGCTTATTAAGGCGAATACGTTAATACCAACTATCTTGAAGGTCGTAATAATTATGATCACTTTTTTATTACTATTATTATTATTTAGGTGCTCAAATAATCATTGTGTATAAGTTTGCTGGGATGTAAATATTTTTTTCTAATGTTCATAACACAACCTAAGAAATACCACAAACAGGTGAAAAACAGAATCGTGAAATTCCACCATGATTTCGTTCTGATCATCTGACAAACTCAACTTTGCCATATAATCAGCATTAATAACTCCAATAGGCGAATCACATTTCTCAATCACAATTGTATCTGAATGTTCGATTTTCATTGCAGATTATAACTCATACAGGTATGTGTTGATTAAAATAACCTGTTACATAAAGCACTTTACATCCAACCTTGTGTGCTCCAACATATTTAATTGCATACTGTTTAAACCTAGTCTTTATCATTTCGTACTATGAATGATTGTTTCTTAACTTCTTCCGTTTTTATTACTTCTTTTTTGAATTATCTACAGGTATGTCGTGGTTTCTATCTGTTGGCTAATGATAATTCAATATGGAGAGATATTTGTTTCAAATTATGGCCAGTGTGGCTAACATATGACAATAATAATATCGGTTGTAATAATCAGCTTAATTATTTATCCTCAATGAATTACACTTCATGGCGTGAAATGGCTATTTATCGACCACAAGTTTTATATCATGGTATGATTTGTCTGCCTGGTGTCTTTTGTTTTCTTTTTGAATTGTATCGTTTTTTAATTGAACTTAGCTTTTATAAGCCTCACATATATTCCTTCCATCGAATACTTACCAGATCCTAATATTATTGTTCACCATTTTTAAATATTAGTAGTTCGTGTAATTCTTCCACTTAGTCTGTTAAGGAGTCCAGTTAGACGTCATCATTACGATTACCACTACTTCATTTTACACAATTACCAATTATAGCAAACAGACTTAAATCGGCTGTTCATACTAATTTCTTTTTCAAGAAAGCGGATTTTATTATACAGTCTTACAATATACACTACAGACCAGTTGAAGTGAACAAGAACACAAGTGGGGACAATTGAATGTATTTAAATACAAAATCGCACAATCTCTTGGTAAAATCTAAGAACCATACAATAAATACTTCATTTGCAAAATGTCAATCAATTGTCTCAGACTTGATCATTCATTCGTTTTCACACTAATCATTCTCTGTTGGTTCATACGCCATTTGTTCCCGCAGGATACTGGAACCCATGTGCACCATTGATTTGGGATCCGGTTATAGCGCCGGACGTTCGCTTTTCGTCCTCATTTTCGTAAACAACACCCCCGCCACGTGAAGGCAGTGAGTAGGACTTCCCTGGCAGAGGCTGTATACGCGTGGCCGTGTGAGAGTATTTCGAGAGGGAGGGCGAACCCTCCCCGCTCTCGGCCATACCAGGGCATTTGGAGGCATTGCTTAATGTATCTTTTTTATAGCAAATATGTAGCGTCTATATTTTCAAAATGTATAAAATGTTGCTTTTTGTTTACACTAATGGCAATTTTATAAGCTTACGAGATCTATAATTAATGTTATATGTGTTCATATATTCAGTCACTAATCCTGTATTTTTTTTAAAAATGCCCCACACTTTATCAACTTTATCAGAATTGTTCAATCTAAAATAAACCACACACTTTCTAATAATATGCTATCTTTCACTATGATTAGTATTATTCTCTATCTATTTTGTAACATCCTAGTCACTCATGTTAGTCTCTGTATTCTATAATCACTTCCAGAAAGTATTCTTTTTCCACCAACTTCAGCATGAGTATCCAAGCCCTATCGTTGTAATAAGTTAAATATGATTCAGAACCGCATTTATAGACCACTTGTACCTACTAACTGAGTTCAAATTACTACTATTATTGCTATTTATCACCATAATTGCAAAATTATTTTTATTTATTAAGCAGTTGTGCAGCGAATGTGAAAATTTAATATTCCCAAACCTTTTGAATTACGAGTAGCTTTAATTGCTTAATCTGAATAATAATATGTACATTAATTAAACATACTTTACTGATAAACTAATCTTCATCAGTGAAATATTCCGCTAGTTTAAAAATTGTTCCATATACACTAATAAAGTCTATTACTCCCTGATATCAGCCTTCATTCGATTTACATAGTATACATAGTAAACACTTTATAGTTTGCTTTGTAACATTTCTTTACATTTGTCCATATTGTATTTTTTGCAGTAAAACTGCAATTAACTCAGTGAAAATCTGATCTTTTATCTCTTTTTTCCTTTTTTTAATGTCATGTTTCCCGAGGATGTTACCTTTGTCGTGTCACTTACGCTAGAACAGGCGAACCGGAAATAGGCTCTTCTTATAAACCTGTATTTAAAGTTGTCTATTATCGTGGTATACGTTTTCATGTTTCATCAAATCAAATCAGCATGTTCACTGCACCATCAGATCCATCTTCAATCGTGGCAGTTTTAAGTAAATCACATCAGTCCTTGTCATCATCTGTGGATGTCAGTTTAGTTGGAAATAATAACAATAATAATTCCAATTCCGAAGCAGTTATGAAAACAGCTGTTTCTGGTACATTATTGAAGGGAACGTATGAATGGTATGATCATGATTCTGTAAGTTGACTATTATTATTTTTATTACCGGTATAAATCAACAATGGTTATCTGTTATTCTATTGTCGTCGATCAACTCGGAGTAGTAGTGAGGTAGTGACAGCTGATCCAACAAAAATATCCTAAATAAGGACGTAATCGCATAGTTTCGATTTTCGCTATCATGCATGAAAAGCTTACCGTTGTCAATGTAACCTGCTAACCAAGTACATGTGTGTATGCACTCGTCTTTATGACACTTCGATTGCCTATAACATGTCCAGTGGCGACTTGTAAGCAATGGTGCTCTTATTTCTCAAAATAATTCGATTAAACAAGTGTTAGAAGTACCAATTAGCAGATCAAACCATGGGACATATTTAACTTACAGTTCTCGATCGTGTTGGACTTAACACAATCTTATTTTATACACCTACTTTTATAACTATGCGCCCAGAAATTACAGAATTAAGAGTATTGATAGTCGAATTGGTCAGTTTAGCTTTTATCTTTATTAGCATTCTTTGTCCAGATATTCAGAATAAGTAATTGGTTTTTAGGTAACGTAGTGTCTAATTACACAGAATAGATAGGATGCGGTTGGCAGTGAAATCCAGAACGTGCGTTCTGTCCTATTCGGGAGTCGTTAGCTGGATGCACCTGCAACTCAGATTTGCTGTTTACTCGAGCACTCGAACCCAGCACGATTTGCTTCAAACTACATCGCGTCATACACTTAGCTACTGAGACCAAAACTAATCAAATTTCAGTCAAAAATATAAACAACGGGATAATCCAAACCATTTCAAATTAAATTAAATATATTGCATCTTTGCATTCATATAGACACAAGTAGATTGCGAGCTACACACTAGTCGTACCTAAACAACTGGGATCACATATCTTACCAAGGTCAAGTTGATTTAATACACTGACTTGTAAAAATCTCCAATAAACTCCAAACAAACAATACTACTTTAAAATATCCCTTAAATATCTGAATTTTGTTTTTAGGTCCGAGATTTACCGCACACACTACATAAAAAATTTATTTTATTTTAACACATAAAAAACTACTTTTTCATCTTGTTCACTAACCATTATAAGCTCGTTTAATGTATCCGTTCCATAATTTTGTTACTTCTTTCTTGTTTATTTGCAGATTGTGTGTACTTTACATCAATTTTCCGATAAACAAAATCGACCCCCAATAAGAAGACGCCAACACTTGGGTCCCGTTGTTCCACAGTTAACAGTTACGTTCACAATAGTAAGTTTGTGTATCATTTTTTGTAAGAAAAATGCAGTTGTAGGTCTACTTAGTATATGTTAGAGATTCAAACACTATTTAAAATTCGTTATTGTTTTATTTTTTTCTACGATACGACTAGATTATCAAAGTCAAGTGTATTCGATTTTAAGTCACCACCTGATGTATTGTAGGTAGTTCAGATCGAAGCAGATAAGACTATATTTGGTATCCAAACCTACAACTCAATGATTATGAAAGCCAACTGGTTTGGTTACTAAGTTCTCACTCATATTCTAGGGTTGTACAAAATTTATGTAATTAACAATGATTATTTTCTGTAAGTTGTATATCTAGACCGGTTGAATATTAATTATTTCATTGAAGACTAGTTCAATCCAAATCATATGTGAAAAAATAAGAGGAACGAGGGCGTGTGGATGAGAGATAGAAAATGAATGAGTTAATAACCCGATGTTAAAAGTGTAAAGTTTTGAAGATGTCAGATCTTTCCCGCTAAATAATTATTTGCGTTCAAGTTTTGTGTTAATTAGTTTGTACAAACCAAAGTGTATTTTTTTCACAATAACAGATACGTACTTTATCCCAGTTGTGGCGAGACTCTAATTTATGGACGAGCCAATCAGAAGCGTTTGAGAGATTTCAAGGTTACGGCGCCAACTTCAGTGCTTAATGCTAACGTGCGATCGGTTCACAGGGAATTTTGTACAAAACGTGATAATTGAGCGGCTATAACAAATAAAACGGCGAGACTATAATTTGTAGACGAATCAATCAGGTATAAGATAACAGATCTCGGATTATAACTCGAAAGCCTTTCACTCATTTGGCTAAATAAATTTCTGGCATTATAGTTGATGTCAGTTCGTGTTGAAAACCCTATATATAAACCCTAACTGAGCCAAATTAAGACAATTATCGCGAACTGAATAATAAAAGCACCAGTAACACTGGCTGCAGCCAGGTACTACAATATATACGGATGTTTGGAGAGCGTACAGACTCCCACATAGGCTTGGTTATGTGCATCGCGTCGTTATCCACAAGTAGCATGTTGTGCACTCAACAACCGGAGTGCACATAAACAATATTGAAGCTATGTGGTCGAAGCTGGAAGTTTTTTGGACTTTATCATGGCTCCATAGGGCGACTAATCTGTAGCCGTACGTTACGATTTTAGAACCTCTGAATCTCTTTCTAACCTCTGCAAGTTTTTGAACCATGTATAAGAAGTGTATCCGCTTTATTTCCTTGGTTTTGTATAATATATATTTGCTCTATACTGACTGTTTGCTGATTGGCTAATATTTCTCAAGGTCACTTAAGATTCGTTCAAGGGTCCATAAATTAGAGTCTCACCCAAATTAGATTGGGCACTGTTTAATTAGAAAAACACTAAACTTACGTTTATATCGACTAATTGGCAGAAAAATTAAAATTAAGCAGTTAATTTGACAGATCTTATTTGTAGATATAACCTAACCTTACTCTTACATTGATTATCTCTAGATATTCTTTATCTTGTTAATCCAAATTCCTTAACTAGCAAGTTCTAGCCTTTTTTTATTATTATTATAAAAACTCGAAAATCCAGAAAGGGTGAATGTTTCTGTCCTGAAAATCTTGCTTCTCATATCCATCAGTTGACAACATTAGATTTTGTGCTGGTTGTGGATATAACTGCATATGACAGTCTAATAGAGTCACTGCTTCACGTAGAAAATGATCGCGAGGCTGGATCGTGGACGCACACTGCTGAGGAGTTCCGCAGTAGGACGAAACGGCCGTCCAGTACTTCCAAGTTTTCCATAGTGGTCTAGCTTCAGTTGACTGATGATCTCGACAATTAAAATTATTTTGAATCTGGATCAGGATATTTACAAGGCGCAGAAACCGCAGCGATACAGGTCCCCAAGTGTTACTACAGAATGTCTACAGTTCCTTTGTGGAAGCTCTAAAAGAGGGGTAGCATATTGGCCTTATCCAACTTACTATAACCCCGCTCCTCCGAACATATGAAAACTCGCTGATGTTCTACAAGAGGAATACGATCAGAATAAACTGGATATTTATTTATTTTAATACATAGGTATTGGTACAAGGAGGCACCAAATACATATGCGCCACACAAATCTCAATTGATTTGTGGGAGGGCTGTGATACTGCACGAGGGCCCAAACCGAAGCAGGTAGTTTTCTTAGGGGCCACACCCCGAGCCTTCGGCCTGAATGTCTGACCCACAAGGCAGTGGAGCATCGTAAGGAGATGCAGTCCCACGGTAACCAGTGACCAACGATTGGTTCACACGTCATTTGTTCCTTCAGGATACTGGAACCCATGTGCACCATTGGTTTGGGATCCGGTTAAAGCGCCGGACATTCGCTTTTCGTCCTCTCATTTTCATAAACAACACCCCCGCCACGTGAAGGCAGTGAGTAGGACTTCCCTGGCAGAGGCTATATATACGCGTGGCCATGTGAGAGCATTTCGAGAGGGAGGGCGGGCCTTCTCACTCTCGGCCGTACCAGGGCATTTGGGGGCAAACTGGATATTAAACTGTTCGTCGCAGGAATTCAGAAGTAGCATATAAAAAGGTTTAATAAGTTAGCAACATACATCAAACTGTTTGTAGAAGATTATAGATAATAGATCGATATGCTATTTGTGCGATATTCCACACTATTTGAATTTGGACAATTAGATAAATCAAATTGTGTCATCAAAGTGAAATTTGCGTTGGTCCATGTGCTTTTGCGCGCGCCCTTATTTTAGTAAATTTGCTCAACAAGTTTCAGAGTATGTCAGTACGTAGTCTCTCGTTTTAGACAATAGGAAATCTTCCATACAAACAATTGTCTTGGCGAAAACATCCCTTATTCCGTCAATGGTATTTTTCATGTGTTACTATTCAGTGGATCACTGTTACCAAAATTTTCATGCACTACTCTCAAGTTCTCACTTTTTTCAATCAACCGATATTTTTCGATAGTACGGTCAACCTGGAATAACTGTATATAAGAATGGGTGCTAGGTTACTTCCCATAAACTACAGGATCTGTTCTTATATAGAATTATCCTCATGCAATGTTCAAATGAAATCTTTCGTTGATATATTCAATCATGTACTGTAGCGCTAAACTGATAAGCAGTATTGTCTAACTTTCAGTAGTTGTTCAATCAATATTCTTACTAAATGACTAGAATTAATTGCCCCCAAATGCCCTGGTACGGCCGAGAGTGAGAAGGCCCGCCCTCCCTCTCGAAATGCTCTCACATGGCCACGCGTATATATAGCCTCTGCCAGGGAAGTCCTACTCACTGCCTTCACGTGGCGGGGGTGTTGTTTATGAAAATGAGAGGACGAAAAGCGAATGTCCGGCGCTTTAACCGGATCCCAAACCAATGGTGCACATGGGTTCCAGTATCCTGAAGGAACAAATGACGTGTGAACCAATCGTTGGTCACTGGTTACCGTGGGACTGCATCTCCTTACGATGCTCCACTGCCTTGTGGGTCAGACATTCAGGCCGAAGGCTCGGGGTGTGGCCCCTAAGAAAACCACCTGCTTCGGTTTGGGCCCTCGTGCAGTATCACAGCCCTCCCACAAATCAATTGAGATTTGTGTGGCGCATATGTATTTGGTGCTCTCTTGTACCAACATTTATGTGTTCAAATAAAAAATTAAATTAATTACATTTAATGAATACTTTTGTCTAAGTTACATATATTTTTGGGTTGCAGAAATTTAAAATTGGTAACAAAAAAGGTTGTCTACACAATCAACTCCTGTGGGATTCGTATGTTATCCATACCTTTGATAAGTAAGTAAAATGATTCTAGTCATGTTTTTTTTATCTAGCTTGTATTAACCTATAAGAGCTAGTTGAATTTTTTTCAAGAATAATGATCAAGAAGTTGAATAAAGTCCTTATTAGCAACCGAACTCGACCCAACAGCGTCTAGATTACTGACTAATAATAATACTAGCAATCCATTAACCACGTAACAGACTCACGTACCTGACTTTAAGCTATTTTGTGTGTGTATGAGAGAGAGAGAGCTAATATTTATACTCAACTTTTCAAATTAAATTGGGCAGGTGGAGTTTAGATTTGCTACTGAATATGAAATTTCAAATTCACTTAACCCACTTTGACAAGTTAAATTTTTTTTTTGATAATTTAATTTTTATAAGCGTGAAATAATTTATGTGGATGCACAACTTTATTTTCTTTAGTTATATATGAATATTATAATAAAGTGGGATTTATGGAGTACTGTTTATACTAAGGAATAAAACAAAGTTAATAAATGGGTAAGAAATAAGTGAAACTAGTACCGTACCGTTGTAAATATGATGCTTCGTATGCTTAATGCCAAATGATTTTAATCCTGTTTTAAAACAGTCAAAAAAATGATTCTAATTAATTCCTATTCTTTTTAGTACTACATAGCAAACAACAAGTATACTGTACATAATTTCTATATAATCTATAATGTGATTATGATATGCAATCGTTAAGTTTGTAAGGTACTCACTCATAGTATTCATGTTACCTATGTTGTTAACCTTTTTTTATTAGTTTTTCTTTCCGTACCGTTAATACTAATGGTTTTTTTAAAATCAGATCCAGTGAAAGTGAAAGTACCACCGTGTTAGAACTAACCAACCAACATTTTCCACCCTGTCGTTTTGTTCAAGTGCGAAACTTCATCCCAGAGGTGACAGCCTCACCACTTTGACCTATTTTCACTACTAATCGTGGGTAATCTTATCTTCACAAAAATATTTTTCAACATACAAATATTTCTACAAATACATACAGTTTTTTAGTGTTAACTCTTATCAATTACTCTGCTTGATGTATTTGTTTATTTTACGATTTCATTTTTGAATACTTCACTCTGATTTACTCTGTCGCTGTTCTTACTTCAACTTAAGTTCTTTACATAATTATATTTACATCATACACGTGTACATTAACGCATGTTGTTCATCATGATTTATGTGATATTCGACTTCTATAACTATTTTCATCATAGATTTTAATCCAATAGCGTTTACTTTAATGGATATATCTTACATATATCTACTACAAAATGTCTAGCATTCACAGTTCTTTGTTTAATTGACTATTATGCATTACAAACTGCATAAAACGGTAATTGTATTTTTTATTCTAATGAAATCAAGACAAATGAATATCAAAAGTTTAAAATCTGAAGTAAGGCGTATTTCTCACTGTGGATCCGATAAGTAAGCTATTAAATTGAGAGAAAATCTAGTTTCCCAGTCATTTTTTCAGCTTGATAATAACTCATTTCGAAATGGTTGATCTTGATTGCCACATGACCGAATAAATTTTTCCATAGGAATACTCTCATATGATTGTGTAGTACATCAATATTTATTACAATCCCGCTAGTCAAAAGTTGATTCTTTCATTATGTTGACAGATGACTTGTTTTATCACCCACTTTTTTCTACCTGATCAATAGCTACCTCTGAAAATTTGTTTTCAATGTAAATTTTATTTTAGCCGTAGTGAAACTGTTCGTCATAGTCGTTACATTTGATGTTTACACATTAACGTAGGTTCCAAAAGAAGTTTATTTGATTTAGATTTAGGAAACCCATCTATCACCTCAGCTGGATTTAGGAAACATGTATAATTGATGAGTTTCCTTCAGTTCATTTTGGATTGATATATAGCCGTGTTTGGGTAGGTATTGCACTAATCTGTTGAGTTGAAGTTTCGTTATCTAATTCAATTTCCACTAATCGTTTGTGTATCTTAACTGAGAAAACTCACATAAAAATTTAACTGCCAATGTGATTAAGGATATCTAACCAGCTGAGTAGTGAGTCTACTAAGTTCTTGATGATGCTGTTAATTTCGACAATCTAATCCTCTTCAGCATGATTTATTCTACACATACGTCAACTTCCAACACGTCTGTCATTGGCTAATCAGTTTACTCAATTTTACATGCCATACCAACCAGAGTTCAGAACTAATGGCAACATTGATTAACGACCATATGATACACGGAAAGTTTTAAGAATTCCGGAAGAGCATCAACTAATATTAGGTGCAACTTCTATCAACAGTAGAAACCTTATCATAATCTAAAGTATTATTTACATGACAACACATTACTGAACTAAGCTTTATACAACTTTTACAGTGTCTAGATAGTAATTTCCTATCGGACCTAACTCTTTACTGTACGATCGTAACTAAAACTTCTAAATTATTAACGAGAAGTTCTCTCGATCCCTCATTTTCTCAAACTGTAAAATCGAGAATCAAAAGGAAAGTATTTTATGGAAAATGTGCTGTTAGTGTTGGCTAACACACCATTCGTGTGAGGAAAAAAATTAAGTACCAATCGACAAAAATACATTATTTCAAAAGAATTCTACGGGTGAACATATTACTTGACTAATAGGAAGGTTGGCTAAACAAAAGTATGTTTCAAGCTTTCCACTACCGAACACTGACCATTCTATCAGAATACTGAGTAATCCGACCCAAGGTTAAAATATCCTCAAAGTAAAATAATCAAATCTTGAAAATATATGAGAGATGTACTCAACTAGTGAGTTCGAACATGTCTAAAAATTACGACTTCCTTGTGAACATATTACAATATTTAATTGTAATTAAGAATAAAGATTTTGGAGGATTTAACCTAATATCTACTTAATTAAGTAGCCATGGAATTCTTAGCGCTCAACTGGTTTTGACAAAATCTAACGGTCACCCTCCCCTTGAATTTTATCATGAATAGTGAAACATCGAAAGTGATCTACTCAACAATGTATATTAATACAATCTTGTAAATTGAAAAGTGAATAGGATCTTTGATAAGTTTGGCCAGTATAACTGCTGGACTGTTGTCTCGTATCAGCTCTGTAAAGTTAAATCTGTAGAATTAATCCATGGATTCGGATTCACAAAACTTGGAGAGGGATTGGCTGTTCGGTCGTAATAGTCTATGTTAAAGTATAGAAAGATAAAAACGCAAAATATGGGTATAAAGGCAAATTTATACCTTCATCTAGTGTCTGTTATATGCTTACTTACTTACTTACGCCTGTTACTCCTCGTGAAGGAGCATAGGCCGCTCACCAGCATTCTCCATCCAACCCTGTCCTGGGCAATCCTTTCAAGCTCTTTCCAGTTCTTATTCATCCTTTTCATATCTGCTTCTATTTTCCGACGTAATGTGTTCTTTGGCCTTCCTCTTTTCCGCTTCCCTTCAGGATTCCAAGTTAGCGCTTGTCTCGTAATGCAGTTTGATGATTTCCTCAATGTATGTCCTATCCATTTCCATCGTCTTTTCCTAATTTCCTCTTCAGCTGGAAGCTGGTTGGTTCTCTCCCACAAAAGGCTGTTGCTGATGGTATCCGGCCAATGGATGTTGAGTATCATGCGTAGACAGCTATTAATAAATACCTGTACCTTCTTGATGGTGGTTGTTGTAGTTCTCCAAGTTTCAGCTCCGTACAGTAGAACTGCCTTGACGTTCGTATTGAAGATTCTGACTTTGATATTGGTTGAAAGTTGTTTTGAGTTCCATATGTTCTTCAGTTGAAGGAATGCCGCTCTAGCTTTGACAATCCTCGCCTTGACGTCTGCATCTGAACCTCCTTGTTTATCGACGATGCTTCCCAGGTATGTGAAGGATTCCACGTCTTCCAGAGTTTCGCCATCAAGAGTGATTGGATTGCTGTTCTCCGTGTTGTGTTTGAGGACCTTGGTTTTCCCTTTGTGTATGTTGAGGCCTACTGATGCAGAGACTGCTGCTATGCTGGCTGTCTTTATCTGCATTTGTTCGTGTGTATGTGATAGGAGGGCTAGGTCATCTGCGAAGTCCAAGTCGTCTAATTGGTTCTGAGCTGTCCATCGTATGCCGTAGTTTCTCTCAGATGTCGAGGTCTTCATAATCCAGTCGACCACCAGAAGAAACAGGAAGGGAGAGAGTAGACAGCCTTGTCTTACTCCGGTCCTTAATTGGAATGCGTCTGTCAGCTGTCCTCCATGCACTACTTTGCACTGTAGTCCGTCGTATGAGTTCCGGATAATGTTGACAATCTTCTCAGGAACTCCGTAGTGTCGAAGTTTCCATAACGTCCTCCTATCTACACTGTCAAATGCCTTCTCATAATCAATGAAGTTGATGTAGAGTGACGAGTTCCACTCAATTGATTGTTTGACGATGATCCGTAGTGTCGCAATCTGGTCTGTGCACGACCGGTCCTTACGGAATCCAGCTTGTTGATCTCGAAGTTGAGCGTCAACTGCGTCTTTCATCCTGTTCAGTAACACTCTGTTGAAGACTTTACCCGGTATTGACAGTAGTGTAATGCCTCTGTAGTTTTCACACTTGCTCAGATCTCCTTTCTTTGGAATCTTGATGAGGTGTCCTTCTTTCCAATCCATCGGCACTTGTTCCTCCTCCCAAATCTTCTTGAATAGAAGATGAAGCATGCTTGTAGTTACTTCGATGTCTGACTTCAACGCTTCAGCTGGTATATTGTCAGGTCCTGCTGCTTTCCCGCTCTTGATTTGTCTGACGGCCATTCTGATTTCTTCTGTCGTTGGTGGATTGACATTTATAGGAAGATCTGTGTGTGCTGCTTCGATGTCCGGTGGATTCATTGGAGCCGGTCTGTTCAGGAGTTCCTCGAAGTACTCTGCCCATCTGTTGCGCTGTTGTTGAATCTCAGTGATTGGTCTTCCTTCTTTGTCTTTGACTGGTCTCTCTGGTTTACTGTATTTCCCTGCTAGCTTCTTCGTCGTATCGTAAAGCTGTCTCATATTTCCTTCTCTTGCAGCTTTTTCCGCCGTCGTTGCTAGTTCTTCCACGTATTTTTGCTTATCAGCTCTAATGCTCTTCTTCACTTTCTTGTTTGCTTCTATGTACTCTGCTTGTGCTTGGACTTTCTCTGCTCTTGTTCGACTGTTTTTAATTGCTGTCTTCTTGTTCTTTCTTTCTTTCTTTGATCCTGTCCAGTGTTTCTGTAGAGATCCATTCCTTGTGATGATGTTTCTTGGGGCCCAGAACCTCTTGACACGTTGAAGTTAATGTTTCTTTGATACCTTTCCAGCTATCCTCCATAGTAGTTTCTTCTTCCTTCAGTAGATCCTGTAAGGCTTGGAACCTGTTGTTGAGAGCTACCTTGAATTCATTGAGTTTGTCAGTATCTCGAAGGAAGGCTGTATTGAACCTTTGTGGTGCTGTTTGTCCAGTTGTCCAGTTCTTCTTTAGCTTCAGTTTCAATTTGGCCACAACTAGGTGATGATCTGAAGCTATGTCCGCTCCTCTCCTGGTTTTCACATCTTCCATTGTCCTTCGGAACTTTTTATTGATGCAAATGTGATCTATCTGGTTCTCTGTGGTGTGGTCCGGTGAGATCCACGTAGCTTTGTGAATACGTTTGTGTGGAAATGTTGTACCGCCTATGACCAATTTATTGAATGCACACAGATTTGCAAATCTTTCCCCGTTTTCGTTTCTCTCTCCCAGTCCATGCAGTCCCATGATGTCTTCGTATCCGGTGTTGTCCATTCCGACTTTGGCGTTTAGATCTCCCATCAGGCTGTATTGAACCCTTGTAATGCTGTTTTGCTAGTTGTCCGGCGTTTCTTTAGCTTCAGTTTCATCTTGGCAACCACCAGGTGATGATCTGAAGTTACGTCAGCTTCTCTCCTGGTTCTCGCTTCTTCCATTGACCTTCTGAATTTTTTATTGAACCAAATATGGACAATCTGGTTCTTCGTAGTGTAATTCAGTCAGACTCATGTAGCTTTGTGTAAGTTTGTGGGGTAATATTGTGCCGACTATAACCAATTTGTTAAATGCACATAAGTTTGCAAATCTATCAACAATCTCGTTCCTTTCTCCCAGGCCATGTTGTCCCACGATATCTTCATATCCGGTGTTGTCTATTCCGACTTTGGCGTTTAGATCTCCGATCAGAATGGTGAGGTCCTTTCCTGAGCACTTCGTTATGATTGATTACAGCCTCTCATAGAATTGATCTTTAATGTCGTCGTTGCTATCATTGGTGGGTGAATAACATTGGATAACATTCATTGTGATCCCATCCTTCTTTGTTTTGAATGATGCTTTGATGATTCTGGATCCGTGAGATTCCCATCCCACAAGTGCATTTCGTGCTACTTTGGACAGCATTAGAGCAACTCCCTGAGTGTGTGGAGCATTTTCCTCTTCACGACCGGAGTATAGCAGCATCTCTCCCGTATCTAGCCTTTGTTGTCCAGCTTGGGTCCAATAGGTTTCGCTGATTCCCAGTACTGCCAAGTTGTATCTCCTCCTTTCCGTCGCTATTTGAATGGTCTTCCCGGTCTCCCACATTGTCAGGAGATTCCATGTGCCTATACTACTTGTTGCTCTGGTTGTTAGAAGGGGCATCGGCCTCGTGACTTCCGAAGGAACTCGGCTTTCACCATGAAGCGTCATATTACCTCTAACTCCCAGGGCAGAGTTTAAATGGTTTGAGTTATTTTTTCTGGTTAGCGTTTTTTAGCGAGTTAGGTTTCTACGGGATGGGGACGCTAACCCCATGCCCAACCCTCCTCCTTTACCCGGGCTGGGGACCGGCAGTAACTCTGGAAGACCTACAGGCGGAGTTTGTTATACGCTAGCGATCGATTATTCCCTATATATGTATCCGTAAAGATTTACCTAAGATCGTCAGTTAATCCTTCTATTGCATATTCTAGGAAAATAACAAGAAACAACTTCCAGAATACACAACACTACAGCGCTTATATATATATTTACGGCTAATTACAGTTTACCAACAATGAAACCGAAGAATTTAGTACATTATGTGGATGACTCATCAATTATTCCAAAGTGAGGTAGACTACAAAATACTCAACAGTTGATTAACATATTCGATGACATCAAATTTACAAGAGAAGATGGATCACAAAACAAAATCCTATTTTCAGATTTTTTTACCAACAGGACAAACACAGCAGCTTTAAAAACAACTATACATTAAGTAAAGCCTTAATGACCAAATAATTAACTACAACAATGACTCAGCACGACGCCAAAAGAGTTGTGTACAAACAATATATGGAAGAGCTGAAATTACTATTACACTGACTACTCGAAAAATCTCATCTCTATCTTTCATAAGAATGGATACCTTAGAGATATCATCGAAAGTTCCCTAACGAGTCGGTATACTATCAAAAAATCAGAATGAAATGTTTCATAAGTAATCAAGTTGAGAGTGAAGATGACTGATGATTGTGTCATGTAGAGAGGAAAATAAAATTGCAGAATGCTATAGACTGGATTCCAACCTATTGGTTGAGTTGGAACATAACTATAGTAAGACATGATGAGTATTCCACTCAGTATCGTACTGACTAGAAGTCTCAAATTAAAATACATATATCAACACCAAAGGTTTTTAAAAATGTTCCAAAATAAAAAGAAATTTTGGTTATATTCAAAAATTTCATACTTCCCAAAGACCCTTTAGTATTTACTGAGATGTCAAAAGTAGATGTAAAGGGATATTGATTTCGTGTTTATTACTTTGGCTGTTCACCAATCACTTGTTATTTGATTAATTTGAATTGGATATTATGTGTAATTAACGACGGCTTTTATTACTTACTAATAGTCAGTTTGTTTGCTAATTGCTTTGTTTTCTCAAACCTATTTAGTTGGTGTTTTAGACGAACTACTTGAGTGTGTACTATCTCATTTCGGTTATATAAATACCTGCACCATTATCATCTTATAAGTAAGATGTCATAAAAATGATAAAAACAACACTTGAATTCAACACAGGTAACCACGTATCGTATCTTTTTGTGTGATAACTAGTGATACCATTCGGCTATCCGAACGGATTCAGATAAATAGAGGATTCTGATCTACAACTATTAGTCGCTATGTAATTTCGGGAAAAATCGACAATAATCTATGACAAATGAAATCAAATCTACCTATTAGTTTTCCATCAGAATATCCATGTGAATAGTGTGAAGCGGATTTCTTACAACCAATCGATTTTAGCCAATGGTCATAGGCTACAGTTGAAGCTTCTCTACGAGTTTGATTAGCTAAGTATTTTTTGAATTCAACTTGTCTAATATATTGGATTTTCTTATATTCTTCTTCAGTCTTCTTTTTACACCATTCTTGATATTTCAATCTGGATTTCTGTGTCTGAGTTACGACAAAACAGAAACGAAGTCCTTTCAAAATACTACTTAAGATGTGTAATTAGTAAAAGGTAAACAAACAGGATCTTTGAAAAATTGTAAGATTAATATGGCCACAAATTAACTTGAAATTTAGTTCTCCCTAACACCTTAAGGCAACTAAAATGAGGCTAATGCATATAGTTTTTTTATTAACACCAAATTATCCTACGGAATTTTCAAGAAACCATAGCAGGGGAGCCTTTCATTTACATAATGATCCTTTTAAACGTTAAAAAACAAATGAATAGGAATAACATCATGTTAGTGATAAATCCAAACATCTAGTCTTTCTACAACCATTATGCAAACCACCACATTTTTCGTATATGAACATTACATAGATCTGTGACTAGAAAAATTATCGGTAAATTAAAAGATTGGGATGGCTCCATTCGACAGAATTATTTTGTGGTTTACATCACGGAGTCTTAGGTAACCGCCACGCACCGGACAGTTTTTACGCCCTAGTGTGGGACTTCCCAATAGTGAACAGCCACAACTCTACGGAGGATTGAATCAAAAACCTCTGAGTCTCCCACCAAGCTCTTAACTTCCAGACCACTGAACCAGGATTCAGTGGTTTACTTGTCTAACTTCAATTAAATCTCGATATTTGCGACCGTCGCCATTGATAATGATTGTCTCATGCCCGATGCGACTGAACTCTACTAGTCATATCTTCTCTCTAGAAATTTTCACTCCAAGTTAGTACGATATTTTTCATAACGGACTCACATCAGCTGTAAAAATCGCTAAAATTCTATGAGTATTTGTCAACTGTTATCTATTATTTCGAAACTCTTCAACACACTAAACCTACAAAAATACTTCCTTACACCAATTACAGTTCGCGAAGGAGCATGGGCTGCACAACCGCACTCTGTATCCAACCATGTCCTGGGAAATCCTTTCCAATACTACAGTTGTTATTCATTCTTTTCATAGCTGATTCTATTTCCTGAGGTAATGTGTTCTTCGGCTTTCCTTTTTCACGCTTCCAATTTAGGGCTTGTCTCGCGATGCAGTTTGGTGATTTCCTCAATGTATGCCCTATCCACCTTTAACGTCTTTCCCTATTTTCTTCAGCTGAAAGCTGGTTTATTCTGTCCCATAGTAGGCTGGTGCTGATGGTATCCGGCCAACGGACATTCAGTATCTTGCGTATACAGCTATTTATAAATACTTGTACCATTTTGATAATGGTTGTTTCATATCTCCTTCTCTTGCAGCTTTTTCCGCCGTCGTTGCTAGTTCTTCCAAATATTTCTGCTTGTCGGCTCTAACGCTCTTCTTCACTTGCTTGGTTACTTCTGTGTATGCAGCTTGTGTCTTGACTTTCTCAGATCGTGTTCGGCTGTTGTTAATTGCTGTCTTCTTGTTCTTCCTTTCTTGAATCTTGTCCAGGGTTTCCAAGAGATCCACTCCTTATGGTGATGCTTCTTGAGGTCCAGAACCTCCTGACACGTTCAAGTCAATGCTCCTTTGGTACCTTTCCACTTGTCCTCCATATTACTTTCTTCTTCCTTCAGTAGATCTTGTAAGGCTTGGAACCTGTTATTGAGAGCTATCTTGAATTCGTTGAGTTTGTCGGTATCTCGGAGGAAGGCTGTATTGAACCCTTGTAATGCTGTTTTGCTAGTTGTCCGGCGTTTCTTTAGCTTCAGTTTCATCTTGGCAACCACCAGGTGATGATCTGAAGTTACGTCAGCTTCTCTCCTGGTTCTCGCTTCTTCCATTGACCTTCTGAATTTTTTATTGAACCAAATATGGACAATCTGGTTCTTCGTAGTGTAATTCAGTCAGACTCATGTAGCTTTGTGTAAGTTTGTGGGGTAATATTGTGCCGACTATAACCAATTTGTTAAATGCACATAAGTTTGCAAATCTATCAACAATCTCGTTCCTTTCTCCCAGGCCATGTTGTCCCACGATATCTTCATATCCGGTGTTGTCTATTCCGACTTTGGCGTTTAGATCTCCGATCAGAATGGTGAGGTCTTTTCCTGAGCACTTCGTTATGATTGATTACAGCCTCTCATAGAATTGATCTTTAATGTCGTCGTTGCTATCATTGGTGGGTGAATAACATTGGATAACATTCATTGTGATCCCATCCTTCTTTGTTTTGAATGATGCTTTGATGATTCTGGATCCGTGAGATTCCCATCCCACAAGTGCATTTCGTGCTACTTTGGACAGCATTAGAGCAACTCCCTGAGTGTGTGGAGCATTTTCCTCTTCACGACCGGAGTATAGCAGCATCTCTCCCGTATCTAGCCTTTGTTGTCCAGCTTGGGTCCAATGGGTTTCGCTGATTCCCAGTACTGCCAAGTTGTATCTCCTCCTTTCCGTCGCTATTTGAATGGTCTTCCCGGTCTCCCACATTGTCAGGAGATTCCATGTGCCTATACTACTTGTTGCTCTGGTTGTTAGAAGGGGCATCGGTCTCGTGACTTCTGAAGGAACTCGGCTTTCCTCATGAGGCGTTTTAATTCTTCCTTCAACTTCCAGGACAGAGTTTAAATGGTTTAATTTGTTTAATGTGGTTGGCGTTTTTTGGCATGATTTTTTCGTATGGGATGGGGTTGCCGACGCTATACTCAACCCTCCTCCCGGGCTTGGGAACGGCAGTATATCTATATGACATAAAAGCGGAGTTCCCTACAATATATACAGGGTCTAACCTACGGCGTTCAGATCTCTTCACAGTTAAATCATCATTAAGTAAAAATCAAACTAAGTCATTTTACAATAAAATGTTATCTATATCCAATATCACTGGTGGGTAGTTGCTTCTGTTCTGTTTTCGTTGATCAAAGTACATTCTATTTCTGGTTATATGTATGAATTATAGTATAAAGTGGTATATTGCTAATATATCAAACGATCACGTTTTATAATTGATCGGTCAAGTGCTAAAGAATGAAATGCGATTAACTTACACTTTTTTTATAAAAATACAGACTGGAGTAAAAGTCTGTACAGTTAACGCACAGAATTATTTAATATACTTCATACATATATCAATTTCATTAAACTGTTAATCCAAAATCACTAAAATAATAATTAGTTGACGAGGCAAAATATCATATTCCTGTTCATAGACAGTATTAACAAGATCACTGAAGTCAACATTTTACATCTATATGTTAAAAAGAATGAATAAAAGCTATAACTTACGTGTTCAAGTAATTCTTGTTTTTTTTTTGATTCTTCATTTTTCTTCTCTATCTCTCGAAGTTTTTTAATTTGTATTCTTTCTTTTTGTTTTGCTTCAGTCCATTCTTTACATTTTTGTTCAACTAACCTTCTACGATTTATTATTTGCACCAATAACTGATTCCTCTTTTGAATTTCTTCAATCTTTAAAACATTGTTCAAAATTAATCATGATTGTTGTTATAAAATAAAAACAACTAACAAATGTATTCAAAAATAAATATAATTTCTGAGATATACCAATGAGTAGAAATTTGTACTTCTGAAGTTTCTTGACTTGATGTAAGTCACTTCTTCAGAGTAAATAAATAACCGAAATAAATTAACACAGGTCTAATTAGTATAAAGAAAACAAAGTAGAACATTTAAAGCAATTGGTCCCTCTTACAAAATTTAACAGAACAGTGAAAAAAAAAACAGAATTAATCCAGAATGTGTGATGTGTTTGCGCTGCACATTTCGAACAATCTGGTCACACATATATTTCTTGAGGCTTATTATGCGAAAACTGATAAAGGTCAGATTTATCGGAGCTTTGACCAATCTCAGATCCACACCCCCTTATGTGAACGGAAACAATATGCCGTAACCTGGAATTTTCCGTGGTAATCTTTGAGTCGTTTGCATGGTGTAGGGTAGTGCAACGATTTCCTATTCTTTCCATACTATGTTTATTTTTTCTCTTCTTTATCTACAGTTAACACTTTATTTATCTGAACTTTGAATTTTCTATTCTGTTACGGTCTCATTGTAAACTACGGTTAAAAAGGCATTAACATACTAATATCCTGAATATAGCAACGTAGTTATTCCTTAGTTATTGAGGAAAAGACTTTATATTACGTCATTCGAGTAAAGGAACTGCTGGTTAACGCGTCCTAGAAAAAATCTAAACTGTCCTATTTCAGGAACAACAGGTTATATCTTAGGATATTCCAAGAGATCCACTCCTTATGGTGATGCTTCTTGAGGTCCAGAACCTCCTGACACGTTCAAGTCAATGCTCCTTTGGTACCTTTCCACTTGTCCTCCATATTACTTTCTTCTTCCTTCAGTAGATCTTGTAAGGCTTGGAACCTGTTATTGAGAGCTATCTTGAATTCGTTGAGTTTGTCGGTATCTCGGAGGAAGGCTGTATTGAACCCTTGTAATGCTGTTTTGCTAGTTGTCCGGCGTTTCTTTAGCTTCAGTTTCATCTTGGCAACCACCAGGTGATGATCTGAAGTTACGTCAGCTTCTCTCCTGGTTCTCGCTTCTTCCATTGACCTTCTGAATTTTTTATTGAACCAAATATGGACAATCTGGTTCTTCGTAGTGTAATTCAGTCAGACTCATGTAGCTTTGTGTAAGTTTGTGGGGTAATATTGTGCCGACTATAACCAATTTGTTAAATGCACATAAGTTTGCAAATCTATCAACAATCTCGTTCCTTTCTCCCAGGCCATGTTGTCCCACGATATCTTCATATCCGGTGTTGTCTATTCCGACTTTGGCGTTTAGATCTCCGATCAGAATGGTGAGGTCCTTTCCTGAGCACTTCGTTATGATTGATTACAGCCTCTCATAGAATTGATCTTTAATGTCGTCGTTGCTATCATTGGTGGGTGAATAACATTGGATAACATTCATTGTGATCCCATCCTTCTTTGTTTTGAATGATGCTTTGATGATTCTGGATCCGTGAGATTCCCATCCCACAAGTGCATTTCGTGCTACTTTGGACAGCATTAGAGCAACTCCCTGAGTGTGTGGAGCATTTTCCTCTTCACGACCGGAGTATAGCAGCATCTCTCCCGTATCTAGCCTTTGTTGTCCAGCTTGGGTCCAATGGGTTTCGCTGATTCCCAGTACTGCCAAGTTGTATCTCCTCCTTTCCGTCGCTATTTGAATGGTCTTCCCGGTCTCCCACATTGTCAGGAGATTCCATGTGCCTATACTACTTGTTGCTCTGGTTGTTAGAAGGGGCATCGGTCTCGTGACTTCCGAAGGAACTCGGCTTTCCTCATGAGGCGTCATTTTTTTTCTAAGTGAAGACCTTCTAACTCCCAGGACAGAGTTTAAATGGTTTGAGTTATTTTTTCTGGTTAGCGTTTTTTAGCGAGTTAGGTTTCTACGGGATGGGGTTGCTAACCCCATGCCCAACCCTCCTCCTTTACCCAGGCTTGGGAGCGGCAGTAACTCTAGAAGAGCTACATGTGGAGTTATCCCATCTTTTGGGTCCACTATATTTTATATGTAACTAAATATCTCATTAAGAGTCACTTAGCTACGTACAAAACACGATTTTCTAAGAATTTATTTTTTTAATGTTTAGTTTGTCTGGAACCTCAGAAACATCCATAAACCGGACGTCCAGTGCTCCTTGATTTCTTCCGATGACTCTCCTCTTAACATTCATTAGTGATAAGAGCTACTCTTTCCAAATAAATTAGAGCTTAAAAATGAAATGTTCAACATAATGTGTAGATTTTAAGTGCTTAATTACATGATTTGCTTGCCTAAGTAATACAGCTTGTGAAGTCAAAGCCATTTTCCATTTAAGCTAATAATCATCACTAGCAATAATTTTCCCCATAGAAATAATGTATAATACATTTTACCTGTTTCTTTTTTGACTCTTTTTTTTGTTCTCGTTTTTGTTTTTCTTTCTCTAACAACCAACATCCCCATGCCGACAGTTTATCATTCGAATTGTGTAGACATTTAGCGTTATTCACGACATCACTGTTTAAGCTTATAGTTACGTTATGGTCGTTCTCAGCGTTCACAGGTTCGATCAATAAATGGTCACGAACACATTCACTGATCAAGCATTCTGTTATATCATACAAATCTGAGGTAGGTGAACCCCCACCATGAGGTGAAACTTTGGATGATGATCGATTATATGTTTGTTGATTACTAGTACTATAGGTAGTAGTAAAGTGCTTGGTTGATACTTTTCTTCTTAGATTAACAGTATGATAATCTGTGTCTAATACAGTTTTGTTTTGTTTCCTTGTGTTTCTGAAAAGATTTCAAGTATTTAGAAATATTTGATTTGTTTATGGTTTAAAACTCAATAAAAACAAAGTTCTGTCAAACATACCGCTCCTTATTTCAATCAAAATGATAATTTCGAAGAAAACCCCTTGCTCTATAAAGTTTATCTCAACCAGAGTATGAAATCTCCTAGTCGTAGAATATTTCTCTCTAAATGCACTAGTCAGTATGAGTGCAATACACTCCTTGATTATATGATAGCATATTTTGCGTACATAATGCATGTCTTAATTTTATTCTGAAGACATCAGAAGTAAGCAACTTCTACCCAAATGGATAAGCCAATTTATTTTTTAAAATGTCAATCACCCAATTTAGACCTCTGGATTGTTTTATAGTTGTATAAGATCAAGAGTAAACTTAAGCGGTCGGTCTTCGAAGCAAGTAATTTGCTGCTCTTCTATTCCTTAGTCAGTTTATGTGTATAAAATGCTTATTTGTTCAGATAAATAATTTGTGTGAATATTTTTCCATTGAATTACGTCTTCCAGAATACCATTGAAAGCCATGGATCACTGGAATTCTGTTTCTTTGCTGGTTAGGGATATTCAACAGCCCACATTTACAACCTCCAAACCTTGGAGCGAACACACCATTGCTAGATTGTAATCTCACTCTATAAGTCTCCAATCTCAGTTGCATTTAAGGCAGTCATCGACAAATGCCCCCGGTCATTAATTATCTCTCCCCTAGCATAGTGGAATCCATATTTAACTGATTAACACTAGTGAATATTATTTTTATTAGCTATTTGACAAAAAACTAAAATTAATACAGTGGTCGAAATCGTAATTCACGATGACTTCAGAAAACAGAACACCAAGACAACTGACTAAATGTGTAACGGAAACAAACCCAATATTTGTGTGAAGAATTCCTAATTAAGATGGTATAATTCACCAGATAAAAAATGACGAACTTACAATAAAAAATGTAGGTGACAAATCAACCAGTTTTTACTTTATAAAATTTATTTTGCTGTGACCGAAAATATCAATATAAAACTATTGATTTGCTTGTCAGTTGAATAAATAATCTTAATTGCCCAAAAGTAGAAAATACTCACAATAGTACTCTCGCTGATTGTCGAATCCACCTGAATAATATATTATTTCTAACCCCTTTTCAACAGAATTTCAACCAATGAAAAATCAAAATAAACAAATCGGAAGACTTTGAGTGATCGCATATTTCTCAACACGAGAATCAGATTCATTATTTGATAAACGTTCTATGATAAGTCAGGTTTTATTTGTTATTAGTTCAAAAGGGTTTTCAATCTTTCTACTGGTAAATATTTATGAGTGAAGTGATCAATCTTTGTTAAAATATGGGCTGTTGAACAAACGTTTCGATATCATCCCTACTTATAATTTAACTATATCGTGGAAAGTAACCTGCAGTAGAATCTAGAACATATATTTAGAATTCGTCAGCTGGATAAACCTAGATTCTAGTGCTGATGTTCCAAATAAAACATAAATTGTTCCGATACATCCACATATATCTGACGTTTTTCAGATGTAATGAATCCCTTTTTCTGGACGTCACTGCTAAAGACTATTCAAAATATGTAGGAAAAATTATTTCCAATTATTACGTTTTAGACAATTAAACAATAATTACAAGACTAGACATCCATCAAGGTAATAGTGATAATGCAGTGAACAAGAACACAAGTGGCGACAACTGAATGTATTTGAATACAAAAATGGCAGAATCTCTTAGTAAAATCTGAGAACCATACAATAGATGCTTCATTTGTAAAATGTCAATCAATTGTCTCAGACTTAATTGTTACTTCGTTTCCACACTATTCATTTTATGTCCTCGGTCCTTTCTCTTAGATCTTATTAACCCTCTCTCGCCAGGCAGTTCACTTTCGATTGACGATACATACTACTTATATCTGTCGACATCAGTAACACACCACAGTAAGTCAACAAACATAGAACAAACTACATACTAAAAACTGTGATTCTCTTGTTATAATCCTCAGAGAATAAGACTGAACATACTTATCCCATTGTACCGACATAGCACAGCAAATTATTCTCTACTAATCGAGTCAGTCTAAAGAACAATGTAAGAAAAACTACCACTAAGGACAATCAGTCAGATTCAAGGTTTCCCTGCTTAACTTTAAATGTTATTTTGGTGACGTAAGCACTTACACCATAAAGTTAGACCAAAGGAATTTAACTCCTTTTGCAAGAATGATACATATCAGTAAGTATTTATGAATATCACAAACTTTGAATAAATGATACCCTCTTATCCTAATTCATAAAAACCCAGTTAATCAGGAATTAAAGATCAATTGTGAACCGATAAGTTGGTTGAATTCGGAAATAATGCATTCTTATACAGTCAATACAAATACACATGACCTCAACATTCTCGGAAATCGGGTAACTAATCGATTATAATAAAACCAGTGGGAAGATAAGATCTTTGAAGCAGTAAAACTGAGAAACATTTCTTAAGAATAATCCTAGTTTTTTAGTGACATCATGCTACTTTGAAGTAATAGAGTGAAAAGTTTGAAAAGCCTTCCTAAACTTACCTGGTCTTATATTTTTCGGGTTTTGATATACGAGAAATGAAACAGACGGAACATAGACACTCATCCGGCCTAGAAAGAATAATACGGCCTTTCTCATCCTACATGGAAGAAAGAACAGATAATGAATACATGTGCTAACCATCCTAAGTAAATTAGCAAACTCTGTTTTTAAACCAGAAATTACGTTACTCGTCTATTCACAAAGTAATGGGAGGACTTATGACGTTGGACACTACTAAAACCGAAATTACATCCGTGAGTATAATGTAAAAAGCCTTGGCTCTACATTTCATGACCTTAGCTACCAAAAAATAGGGAGTGATAAAAATTATTAATGAATACCGGCAAACATGTGAAAATTAGACTTATGATTCACTGGTCTTAAATTTACAAAATTAATAATTTTATGACAATAAGTCTACAATAAATTCGTATAAAATCCAAGCAAGGCTACTTATCATCTCCAAGGTTACTTTTATAAATTCTAATTAATTCTGTACAATCACCGATCACAAATAAAGTTGTGAACGGACTTTAAAAACCCCTGTATATTGATTTATTGGCGATTATACCACTGATCAATTTGGAAGAGAGCAATCAAGACGCCACAATATATGTTGGTGGATTGGATGAAAAAGTTAACGAATCGATCCATTGGGAACTTTTTCTGAACAGCCTTGTCCGACATCGGTCTTCACTTGGAATACGTCAAACAGATGTCCTCTATGTATGACTCTGCAGTGCAATCCATCGTATGAATACCGTATGGTGTTAATGATCCTCTCAGGAACTCCATAGTGTCGAAGAAGTTTCCATAATGTTCTCCTGTCCACACTGTCAAACGCCTTCTCATAATCAATGAAGTTGATGCATAGTGACGAGTTCCACTCAATTGACTGTTCAAAGATGATCCGTAGTGTCGCAATTCGGTCTGTGCACGACCGATCCTTACGAAATCCAGCCTATTGATCTCGAAGTTGAGCGTCTACTTAGCTTTTCGTCCGGTTTAGCAACAATCTGTTCAAAACGTTTCCTGGTACTGATAGTAGTGTGATGCCTCTGTAGTTTTCACATTTGCTCAGATCTTCTTTCTTTGGAATCTTGATGAGGTGTCCTTCTTTCCAGTCCATCAGCACTTGTTCCTCCTCCCAAATCTTCATGAATAGAAGGTGGAGCATGTTTGTAGTTACTTCTATGTCTGACTTCAGTGCTTCAGCTAGTATATTGTCGGGTCCTGCTGGTTTCCCGCTCTTGATCTGTCTGATGGCCATCCTGATTTCTTCCGTCGTTGATGGATTGACATCTATAGGAAGGTCTGTAGGTCTCGACGCAGTGTGTCATTTGGCCTTCTTCATTTCTTTTTCCATCCAGGATTCCAAGTTAGGGCTTGTCTCGCGATGCAGTTTGGTGATTTCCTCAATGTATGCCCTATCCACCTTTAACGTCTTTCCCTATTTTCTTCAGCTGAAAGCTGGTTTATTCTGTCCCATAGTAGGCTGGTGCTGATGGTATCCGGCCAACGGACATTCAGTATCTTGCGTATACAGCTATTTATAAATACTTGTACCATTTTGATAATGGTTGTTTCATATCTCCTTCTCTTGCAGCTTTTTCCGCCGTCGTTGCTAGTTCTTCCAAATATTTCTGCTTGTCGGCTCTAACGCTCTTCTTCACTTGCTTGGTTACTTCTGTGTATGCAGCTTGTGTCTTGACTTTCTCAGATCGTGTTCGGCTGTTGTTAATTGCTGTCTTCTTGTTCTTCCTTTCTTGAATCTTGTCCAGGGTTTCCAAGAGATCCACTCCTTATGGTGATGCTTCTTGAGGTCCAGAACCTCCTGACACGTTCAAGTCAATGCTCCTTTGGTACCTTTCCACTTGTCCTCCATATTACTTTCTTCTTCCTTCAGTAGATCTTGTAAGGCTTGGAACCTGTTATTGAGAGCTATCTTGAATTCGTTGAGTTTGTCGGTATCTCGGAGGAAGGCTGTATTGAACCCTTGTAATGCTGTTTTGCTAGTTGTCCGGCGTTTCTTTAGCTTCAGTTTCATCTTGGCAACCACCAGGTGATGATCTGAAGTTACGTCAGCTTCTCTCCTGGTTCTCGCTTCTTCCATTGACCTTCTGAATTTTTTATTGAACCAAATATGGACAATCTGGTTCTTCGTAGTGTAATTCAGTCAGACTCATGTAGCTTTGTGTAAGTTTGTGGGGTAATATTGTGCCGACTATAACCAATTTGTTAAATGCACATAAGTTTGCAAATCTATCAACAATCTCGTTCCTTTCTCCCAGGCCATGTTGTCCCACGATATCTTCATATCCGGTGTTGTCTATTCCGACTTTGGCGTTTAGATCTCCGATCAGAATGGTGAGGTCCTTTCCTGAGCACTTCGTTATGATTGATTACAGCCTCTCATAGAATTGATCTTTAATGTCGTCGTTGCTATCATTGGTGGGTGAATAACATCGAATCGAATGATGATCAAAAGCATAATGCGGCGAGACTATAATTTACGGACGAACCAATCAGATTTACGATAACAGGTCTTAACTTTTGGCGCGAAATTAATTTATTCACTTGGCTAAATAGGGCTTTGGCATTATAGCTGGTGTCAGTTCGTGATGAAAACCTTATATCTAATTTCTAACCCTAAATGTCAACTGTAAATATTAATCCTGTTTCTTCATACTGGTTTATAACCCTCATTTAGGCGTAGTATGTAGGTGGACATTCTCAAAGTCTTCTTAGCGTCGCTCAAATTATAGTCTCACCGAAAATGTTTCAGAAGAACCAAACCCTGATTACCTCTTATCAAGTTTCATTGATCCCCACTATCTAGTCAGTTCCAATGGATTCTCTATTCAATGCGAGAAATCTGTTTTAAATAGTCACATTAATTGTAACTTGGGGATATGAGGACCTAACATTATTTCGTGAGAGAGGATAAAATCAGAAAATTTAAAGTCAGGACTTAACTTTCGAATATTTAAAAAGTGTTATATCCCAATGAGTATTATGAATGGTAACTTTTGAGAACTATTTATGGGCAAATATTATACGTATATTTTTAATGTATAAATATTCAGTAGCTAGATTATGAATACCTTACTCCTCTTATTACAAGCTTTATTTTGATCCATAAACTACTATTATATTATTCACCGTTCTTGAGTTATGCCCAATCTATCCATTGCAGTCTTCCACATACACAGCCACTTTTCGTTAGATCTTGTACAAGTGTTATTTTCTATTTTATGATACAATGTGGTCTGTTTATAAACCCAGTATGCTTAAAATACATGATTCATATCGCGGAGGCTAGGACTGGTGTTCTGGACTCAACAAGCAAGGCTAGGCAGGAAGAAAGACCGACAAGTACTCTAGACTGCTCGTATGGGTTTATGCGCCATTGGTCCGGTCGATACGTCACTGTTCTCTAATTGGCGGTATCATTGCGTCATATATTAATAGGACACAAGACCACAAGTTATAACGTAGATTATCACTTAAAATTTGGGAGTAAAATCAATCATTATTTTTGGTCCCAATAACGTTGTGCAATATTTCAAAAGATGAATAGTGACTAGCAGTGGAATCCAGGATGAAAATCTTATCTTGTTTGCGATTCATCAGATGGATGTACATGAATTCCAGAGTTGGTGTTAACTCCGGGGCTGGGACCCAGTTCCATTCACTTCGATCGCCATCACGCTATCCACCTAGTTATTGTGTTCAGATAGTCACTGGCCCGGGTATGTATTGGTTGTTTGAATCTTCCCATTGATATAAATAAATAATATATTTGTAATATCCCAATGAGTAGAAAATTAGATTTTCTGAAGTTTCGTGGCTTAGTGTAAGTCACTTCTTCAGAGAATGCAAAAGAGACTGACCAACTGCAGTCCTAAACATCGACGGGAAGATCCAAACAACAAATATATGAGTTAAAATTGTACAAGATTTTCCCATAATGCTTAAAAAGCACTTAAACTGTAAGGCAAAAACCACTGAACCCTTAAAGAGCAGAAATAATACAGAACAAGAACAAAAACACACGGAATCTTTGTTTACTCGAAGGAGAATTATATCCCAGGTTTATACTGATAAGAACTAGTTCATTTTTCGTTTGTTCGAACTAACTTCTTATTTTATTCATTTTATTAGCGATGCATTGGATAACAAATACTTGACAGATGTACAAGTTATTTAACAGATATCCATATATATGTTATGAAGATCGTTGACGAGCTAAGCTACTTAATCAACTTTTCAGTGGACTTGCACGAAAAGGTTATCAAAGTGATGCGAAATCGCTAGTTATTGCTTAGTGCAGGGTATGTGCTCGGATGGATCGGTTTCTGTGTTGAAAATTATTTAGTTTCAAGACGATCAAATTTTAAGTCAATATTTATCACCTGTAAAGTTATCAGCAACCAGTAATTGGGAAAATTAATTTGTAGTGGTAACTAAACTCCAAAAAGAAATAGCTTTGTAAGTTTTCAACATTGATGCTGACCACATTAGTTTTACTAGACGCACCTCTATCTGAAAATGTCCAGTAAACCGTCCGCACCAGATTATGTTTGGGCACGCTGTGTTGTGCTTCTTCTATGATAACTAGTCAACTTATATTCCATAGTATAGGGTATATAGATCCCTAATTCAAATACATCTTTGCATTTTATTATCCATAACCTCTAGTTTGATTGGCTTTGAAACCGTTGTATGATGTGATAGTAGCTTCGCCAAACACTTCATATTTTTGTTGTTTAATACAGACATGCTAAATGTAGATGAATGTATACTCATTTTGAAACACAACATCTGGAAACATGACTGTCAGGCACATCAATTCAGTTCTGTTGGTTAACTCATGCTCAGCCTTCTGAGTAATTCGAATGCTTTATATATCAGTTCTCCAAAACCTTTTCGTCCAGTCACCTAACTATCTAATTATCTATCAGTCATGTTTCGTTGTTATATTGATCCATAAATATTTGAGACATGCTCACTAACTGAAGCTCTATACAGTTTAGCTTCGTTTCAATACGACGCATATTAGACCAGTCTGATACAGTCTTGGATTTGTTTAACTACAATGTAATCGCTCAATATTCTGTTAATAGTGTTACTATTATTTACTGTCAGTTTCAATAGAAGTTCAACTCTATTAAAAAGAGACCAAATCTTGGTGCCAATATATTTCTACTGTTATTTCATTCAACTCGTGTCAATTCAATCCTATTATACTTGGTTGCTTTTTATTATTGTATATGCTAGTTTATCCAATTATTTAATAAATATACATTAAGGAACATTATTATTCTAGCTCTTACTCAATTCATTTGTCCTCGGTCATTAAGATATCATTAAGATGTCTTCGAATTTTAATAACGAGATTATGATTTACAGATGATGTTTGAGTGGTTTCAAAGTGGTCCTGAGGAACCTTAACCAATTTCTGCGGTCGAAATAGGGTTATAAATTAATATGGGGATCTAACACTAGGAGTTTGAGTTAGAACTTAGTGTTACAAATTAGAGCCAGAACTTTCATTACGTCAGCTATCATACCGAAATTTTCATTGCTCGTATTTATGGGTAAATTTCGTCCCAAAATTCAAGACTTGTTATCTTATGTCTAATTAGTTCCTCCATAAATTATAGTCCTTTACCTTGATTTCAACAACTAAGTGTTGTTATACCTATAATTTTAATCTCTTGAGGAGGACTCAAAAAGTAATAGTTGACAATAATAAGTATTCAGCTATATCGTATACTTTTTATCATTTGCGATACGATTTTAGAACTGATCCATGGGAAATGAAGGAAAATATGTCTGAGCCTGTACAACAGAAAACTAAGTGGAGCTAGACAATAATTGTACGTGTAACCAATAAAGCCATGTTTCACTAGATACAAACAATTAATTGGAGGTTTAACAGACAATGCAGCAAAGATAGTATGTATTTCTCTACTTTGGGTTTTTCACTACTACACAGGCAAAATGTCAGCTCAGATTTCACACACACACACACACACAAACTATCAAAAGCACCTGTGTGAAAACATCAAATAGATGTAGATGTAGACAAAAATAGCTCTATCGCTGCTTGAGAATATTTAAAGTACTTCTTTGTGACTTACAGACACAAAGTTACAGGAACCAGATCTTCGTTTTTCACTGTCATCTGTGTGTTTTTCATAAAATACTGGAGTACATTTCGGTGATGCTATCCTGTCAAGACGATTTCTATCCAAGTTAGAACGTGAGCTTGGACAATGAGATAATAGTACATTACTAACTCCAGAACATTCCTTCCGTGTTATAAGCTTTGATTTGTGATCATCACTATCTCTAACTGTTCTTTGCTGTGTATCACAGGGTATGTGACAACCAAAATATGTCTCATGACTGTAACGATTATCACTTGCAACACAGTTACCTCAGAAGTGATGAATACTGATTACTGTCATCTGAAAAAGAATAATCACTTTGATCAAAGTATTTATCCAAAGCAAATTGTGCGAGTAATTCTGTACTAAAGCTCTCAGAAGGACCAGCCGAATCATTAGTAAATACAAACCCTGAATTTCGATCAGAAAACGTGGTTCCCTCCAATAAACATGAATATTTCTTCATGATGCGGTATTGTTATACTTTTTGAAAATCAGTTTCTGTTTCAGTTTGTCTCGGTTTGGAAAGGACAGGAGGCTAGGCGGTCTGTGTTGGTCCTGGCAAAGATGGTGTCTCAGTTGATCCAACTTTCTTTTAAAAGAGTCGACAGATGGAACTTTAACCACGTGCTGAGGTAATAAATTCCACTCGTTGATGATCCAGTGGGAAAGTCGGTAGTCAGCTGACAAGTAATCTGTTCTGGGCTTGTGAACTTTTTTAGAGTGTCCTCGCAAATCCTGTTTTGGAGGACAAGAAAAATGAGGACGTATCAGATGTAAATTTATTACTAAATAATTTTAAAACTGTAATCAATTCACCTCTGGTTCATCTATATGACAATGGGAAAACGTTTAGTTTAGCCAGTCGAGTATCATTCGGGAGCTTCGCTATCCCAAAAATTAGCTTAGTTGTTATTGTCTGAACCTTTTTCAAAAGCTCACTGCCATTTTTAAGCAGAGGCTAGCCGTTTGTATGCACTACTCAAGTTTAGGATGCACGAATACTGTATACAAAGTCAAAAACGTCTTAGCGTTGACATGGTTATAGGCCCTACGTATTGACCATAGGTTTCTAAAGCCTTTGGCGGCTGTCACAAGGCAGTGCAGTAGTTTTTAAGTCTTGGCTAACTATGACTCCTAAGTCATTGTGTGTCTGGACAACAAGTAGTTCGATGTTATTCATTATGTATGTATCTGTACCTTGACGACCAATATGCATCACAATCCACTTGAAAGTATTTACCGGCAACTGCCAAGTTTGAGACCATTCAGATAATTTCTCCAGGTTATTTTGAAGATCTAAGCTATCAAATTTACTTTTTATCGCTCTCCATATCTTGACATCGTCAACATATATCAAGGCCGATAATAAGAGATGAGGAAGGTCATTTACATACAAGAACTATACTGGCCCAAAAACTGTACCCTGAAGCACGCCGCTAGACAACTATGAGTTCACCCGTACTCTTTGTTGGTTCCCAACTACGAAGTCTTTAATCCACATTAACAGATTGCCTCCAACCCCAACATTTCTTAACTTATATAACGGTCGGTTGTGAGGGACTTTGTCAAAAGCTCTGCCGAAGTCAATGTAGACTACGTCTATAGGTAACTTTTGGTCTTTAAGAGCGCACCAGCTTTCACAAGCCACTAATAGGTTAGAGACAGGGATAACCTATTCTAAAGCCATGCTGCTTTTCCGAAAGGATTTGGTTTTCATCAAAATACGTAAACAGCTCTTTCCGAATAATTTTTTCTAAAATTTTAACAACCACGCTGGTTAGACTAACGGGTCGGTAGTTTTCAGGTTTACATTTCTTGCCTGTTTTGATGACAGGACTTACTACGGAGTTCTTCCAGTCTTTTGGTTAACGACTATGAGTTACTGATAGATTGAAACATAAACTTAAGGGGTTCGCAACGAAATTAGCTAGTTCCTTTAGTAACCTAGGATGAATTTCAGCATTGGGTCCAGTAGATTTGCTTACATCAAGCTTATTTAGCATGCCAAAGACATCGAGTTCTTTAATGGTCACGTCTAGTATATGTGTATGAACTAACGGGAATTGTCTCTACGGTATATAAATTGCTGAAGTAGCTTGAGAGTACTTGAGCTTTCCCATGGTCGTCCTCCACTAATTATGGGGCATTACTGTCTCCCCGTAGTGCTGGAAGATTTCCTCTTCCCTTTGTCTTTTGATTTGCATACGAATACAAGCGTTTAGGGCATTCTATAGGTTCCTTAACAGTTTTTTTCTTTATACAACCTTCTAGACTTGCGGAGGGTCGATGCACAAGTATCTCGAGCCTCTCGATATTGAGGTTTTGTCTCATCAGTACCCAGTAGCCTAAATCTCCCGCACATTCTCCTCTTGCGGATAAGGATGTGAACCTCTTTACTGAATAACGGTAGGGAGTTTATCGAACCCCTTGGTGTAGTCTAAGGGATACGCGGTGCAGTGACTTAAGTACGAATTTTGAAATACATCCCAAACTGTTTCAGTTGGAGACTCTGGATCTACTGTCCAATCTACTGACGATGCTGAGTGCATAATATATTCTATATTTGCTTTCCAGACGTTAGGTTTGCGTCGGGCTGATTCGTGATCGTTTTTAACAATTACATAGAAGTCAAAGGTTAGAACTGCATGATCACTTTTACCTAAGGGTGGTATGTAATCGAGGTTCATAACATCATCCTCGTAATGGGTCAATATAATATCTAGTAAGGATGATTCAGATTCCGAGTCGTACCTAGTCGCTTCTCTCACATGTTGTACTACGGCACATATGGTAACCTCATCAACCATTTCCTGCTCGGAGTCTTCTGACAATTCAGTTCTCAGATTTTTCTAGTCTACCGTGGGTGCCTTAAAGTCTCTTAGGATTGGGCATCGACTACTTTGTGACCAAGTATTGAGACAGTCTAACAAGACCTCATTTACCTCAAAACTTGGACTGCGGTAGGCCAAACCAATTAGCAGCTCTTGTCCCTTGCATTTCAAGCAGAAACTAACTAATCCACATGTCCCACTCTCATGTGATACATTATCTATATTGGTACATGGAATGGTATTCCTAATGGATAGAGCTACTCCCTCTCCTTTACTCTTCTGGATTCTGTTGGCTCTTACTAATGTGAAAGCTTCAAAATCAAGTTCTAAACTGTCTACAGGCTGAGTCAGCCAAGTCTATGTAACTGAAAATACATCCGTTTAGTAGAGTCAATCTGTACACATAGTTCCAATCGCTTATTGAGCAAGCTCCGGGTATTTGCGTAATAGATCTGAAGCCCATTTAGATGGCTTCATACTGTACTAATAGTGACTTCGGCATCATTCTTTGTCGAGGCTTTACAACCCGGAAATTTACAATATTTAGGTCCTTTTTGCAGGCATCTAACCAAAGTTTTAGTTCTTCTTCGGCGTCTCGTCTTTTTACACGGTATTATAATACCGTTCTATAAAGCGGAAAGTCCTTACGGACAAAAATTCCTAATTCCTTTAGTTTATGTCCATTCAGTAGTATTGAGTCCCTTTACTGGGAAATTTAAATACAACTTTAAGCATCCTGGTTTAATTGTGTTTCCATTTCATTTGGCTACCTAGTCTACACACCTTTAGCAGAGTGATCCCGAAGATAACGAGGCATTAGCTGATTTAGTATCTGCTTTATCAACCTAATGTTATGCTCAAAACGAGTTTTAGGTTTCGAGCATTCACCCTCCTTGATTCTATGAAATATAACTGACCTGTCACTATAAACAGGCTCCGCTTTCTGGGGGGGGGCTAGCTTTTCTTTAGTAGCAACCAAAGCTCTCAATTTTGAGGAAAATTTTTACCTATTTTGGGGTTTTTGTGCCATTTCCCCAAAATTTTTTCAGAATTTCCCGAAAATAAGTAGAAATTTTCCCCAAAATTGGGAGCTTGCGTGCTAACAAATACAACAACCAAAGTACTCAAAGATAGCGGTTGTAAAATAGTTAAGAATAAAAGATGTTTAGAGTAAACATTTAAACAGAAATACATCCAATTAGAGTGTAAACAGCACTCTTATTACGTAACAAATGATCAAAAGAGAATTTACCAACGTCCCCTTTAAATAACGCGGCGTAATATGCAGATATGGTAAACAATCGTTATATGCATAAAACAAAAAGAATAAATCAAAGAGCCAATGAAAATTTTGAAAGGACCAGTAATTATATAAATAATACTATGTAATTATAACAATAATCACAGAAAGTTAAGAAACATGTATATAGAGGGGAAAATTAGTGCTAAATTAGTTGTAGATCATCAATATGAGTGATGTATGTGGACGATAAAACTCTTTGCTGTTAATCCAGACCGCATTTGATTTTGAACAAGAAACAGATCTTAATTGTTCATACGATTGACTTGTCGATTTTTTAAGTTTGTCTTCTGAGTGCTGAAACCATGTCGTCATGTGAAGCCATCTAGAAAGGGCCGATCAGTAGCGAAAAAAGTAATAACAAAGTGGCGAATAGCCCCCACCCAAATGAATAGTTCTGAAGTCTTCGACATTTCACACTGACTTCATTAGTTTTACTGAACTCACCCACTTGAAGGCATTCGTTAATGCATCCAAACTAGATCATGAGTGGGTACACAGTGTTACGCATTCTTTTCAACTGTCAACCAGATTAAACCAAACGTTCTTCGATATATCGTTGGCCTCCCAAATATATCTTCGAACCACTCTTGACTGTTGATCTCACTGTTTTGGTGTGCTTTTAATATAAAGGTGGTACGTGTTAAGGTGTGGTCATAATCCAGAATACCTGTGACATCTTTAATATTATCGGATATAATCCTTCTCATCATGCCTTTGGTCCCACCACACACCGAGGAACCTTCGTTAACCAAGTGGACTAGTGTTTTGTTCGTTGACTCCGAAGGAAATTACAAGTCAAATTCATTTCATAACAACTATTGACGTTTTTTATTTAATATTCTATTTTACTTTGTGTTTATCATTACTGTTTTTCCTTACTCAGAAACAGACACTTTAATTTGTAGTGTTAGTACTTTTTGTTCATTACTAGTGACTGTGAGTATAGCTATGTGTTGAGTCCACCACAAGTCTGGCGAACCCAACGTGAGTTCCTTCTGAGATAATAACCACAAATTAGTCCACTTGATTAACAAAGATTTTCTGTGCAAGTGGTGGCACCAATGGAGTGACGAAAAGAAATAAATCAGATAGTGTTATTCAGTAGTAATCTTGTTCAAAACTTCAACGTAGTGTGGAAAGTCCTAAAAGAGTGATATAACACTACTATAACCCTCAATCACAGGCCTTGGCCAATAAAGTAGAAGAACAGACTACTGAGATAGCGGGTCTTTTTAATAACAGAAGTAGCGTGTATGTTAGTGCAGCCAAACAAATATATCCGTTTTTTACAACTGATACAAAGAAACAATAGAAAATAAATGTACATGTGATTACATATAAAATGTCACAACTAAAGAGAAATAATGTCTTCATTTTATCACTACAAGAACCACTGAATATACCTGTCACTCTAGATGTACTGTAAATATTCATTTTTTGTTCTATAAGGAACTTTATAAACAATCTAACGTCGTCTCTATAGTACACCATTTGTATCGATCATATCTGATTTCTTCCTGAAAAATTAGAAAACAGACCACCAAAGATATGATAGGCAAGTTATAATTTTATTGTAGCTATATGAATGATAGATTTATAGTCACAAAAAACAATAGCAAAGTTCAGAGTTTACTAGGAACGTTTAATAGGATCAACCAAGCAGTCATTTTCACAATGAAAGAAGAAATGAACGACGCCATCTCCTTTCTAGATGTCTTGTGGAAGAAAAAACTGACGGTTCAATAAGAAGATATGTTTATTGTAAACCGAGGTACATGCTTTCCTAGTTTTGTCCCATTACAATATAGAATAAACTTATTCAAATGTTTGGCTCACAGAGCCAAAATTATATGTTCTGAGGACCGTCTTAAACAGGAACTAAAACTCATTCAAGATCTCCTAAATAAGCATGGATAATCATCAAATTTCCTAATGAAACATGTGTTTGCTACTTAACCTAAAGTAAAATAATTGACCGTACTAAAACAGCCTATATTCTTGAAATTACAGTTCAATGGCGATATATACAAAAACCTTTGGAGAGTACATTCAGTGCGACAAGATTGTGTCTTACTTTATTCAGCCAGTCAATAATGAGTTCACGAAAAACGGGATAAATTACCCAGTTCCTATGCCCCTATATCTATTCGCCATTTCAACTGCTCTTGCTGAGTTAATTATATTCAGAACACAACTAGACAAATGCATCATCGTGTTTCTGAACAATAATCCACATGGTTGACCGAAGATCAAGTAAACGTAATAAGAAGTTCTATCCTAGTGCATCTAGTTGAGGAATTGTGCACGTGTGTCGTTCACGCCGTGCTCTCAGAAGTCGACTTCTGCGTAGCAAAATCAGATATCGATGTTATCTGGCCAGAAGGGCATTAGTTGGAACGAAGGTGAGGACATAGTCATTAACTTAAATACCTTAGGTGCCTGTTCAGTCATGGTGAAATATCAAGTACGAGGACGAACAAGTGAGAAATATATACCCAAAAACACGGAAAAAAATACCAGAAGTCGACTCTTACATACCACAGAAGCAATAGGAATACATATAAAAAATAAGCTTTACACACAGAAGTTTATATAGCCTCCAAATCTACCCTGGCCTTTGACCTAGATACTATTAAATGTTTAAAAACTTTCTTTCTCTTCTCTGAAAACTTTTCGAACTTCGTTTTAGTTAAAATTTGATTTTATAATTCCAATATTGCGTAACACATTTAGTAATCTCATTATCTAATTCTCTAGCACTCGTTCTACTAATACCTGACCATTAATTTCACAGATAACAATCCCTTGAAGATGCCACAGGTATTTGGAGTTTGACAATGCTTTAACCAGTAACACCTTCTAATATGAATCTCACCCACTAAGTGGAACCCAAAGTCAGATATATTTGATAGGCTATCAATATATCGATGATCGTCTGGTCTAATCTGGCTAGCGATTGCAGTAGATGTTGATATGATAATTAGGAGTAATTGAATTATAGTATGAACTAAGAATCCCAGAAATAACGCAATTGAATCAAGAAGTACTACACAAGCACTAAGGAATGTATTGTATTTAGAATTCGAAATCAAGCATTCAACAAGTACAAAGCAATCATTAGTTCATTCTAACACCACAGTTGAGCACGGCGTTCCCACTAGTGATCTGGTGCGGATGCATGATCGAGCGCCTTCAGCTAGGTGAGTCCATGAAAACCAATGTGGTCAGCATCCAATGTCGAAAACTTACAGAGCTATTTATTTCTGAGATTTATTCACCGCTACAGATCACTCCCCACTAGTGGGGCAGTGATGACCCTAAGACGTGACCATCCAGAAGTTTAAACCCAACGAATTTGTCGTTGTAAACACTCTTCTGATAGCTTGCTAGGTTTAGCGGCGTCTGGTCATCTTTCCTTACTATAAGGGACCATGAAGTACAATATAATAAAAAACGAAAAGATACAAAGAAATTTTTGCTTCATTGTAAGCTTCATCGTTTTTTTTATCGTCTTTTTAAGCCGTCCTGGTGAACAAAAGATTATTATTATTATTCACAAACATCTTATGGGTACATAAGTGTTGTGAAGAAATCATTTCGGGTTTCTTCAAAAATGCAATAATACACAAGTTTCAATAATGTTAGCATTATATTTGCCATATTTGAGAAAAGAGATTAGTAATAATAGAATAATAATGATAAATCAGGTTCTATGTAATTGAGAAGAATATTGAATTGAGTTTAAAGAAGGAAAGAAAGAAAATAAGGGAATAGAAATAAAGGAGACATGAGATATGCAAATAGTTTTATAAGCGTGTTTATGAACACAGAACAAGAATAAACGACTATGTATGTATCGTCAAATTAGTAATAAAAATAAAATAGAAAATAATTACGGAAAAAATTTATTATTGCACCAAGATACGACGCTAGAATAAATGTTTACGCAGTCATAGTTTGTAGTGATGCTATGAGAGTCTCAATTAAGTGAAAAGGATAACGAGATATCATTATGTGTGAGTCATGTATGCATAGTGAAGATAAAACGAGTCTGAGAAGTTAATTTATTTAAGTGTACCGTGAGATAATTTGTTTCTAGTTATAGACTTTGGATATTTAGGAAAAATATATGTTCGGAAGGACAAGAAGAGATGAAAAGAATATCTTATGTGTCGAATGACCAATAATGATATTAATAACAGTAATAATTGTAGATACAAACATAAGCAGACTTCATATATTAAGATGGACAGAAAGAAAATAAAGTAAAATAGACGTTAAAAGTTCCAAAGATTGCATTTCGCTTTTCAGTCAATTAGATGGATGACGGACCTTGTTTGTATAAACCATTATTAAATACATTGATATTCAATAGGTGACACAATCCACTTTCGGAAAGAAAATCATCAAGAAGACTTCTGAACCGGGTTGTAGTTTCACTGCAACGGAGGTTCACTGTCAACCTGTTCCACAGGGTTCAGTAGCGAATAACGAAGAAATTATGGCGTAAGTTTGTGTGGTTTCTTGGAATCGCTAGAGTATTTTCCTTATTGCGTAGATTGTGGGATGATATCATAGAGTATGAAGGGGTGGATACCGAAGAGTAGGAAATACCGTTAATAAGCCGGTAGATAAAGACAAGGTTTAATTTGATACGTCTGATCCAGAGAGGTTCTAATTTGAGTTGTTGACATCTTTGGTGATAATCTTTGTTGTCGCGATATACCAGAACAGCTTTGGTGAACCTTCGTTGAACATCTTCGATTTTAATCAGGTCGTTATACCTGCAATTACTGTAAACTAAAATACCATATTCAAGAATGGGCAAGATACATTTTCTGTATAATAACAACCTCGATTCGATATTATTGAAGTTTATCATTATGAGTCCGATGAGCTTTCTAGATTTAGATACTTGAGATGCAATGTGCTCAGAAAAGTTCAGACTGTTGCTATATCTTAGACCCAAGCCACGAACAGTGTTGAGGGGTT